TTTCCGTATGACTAGCGCCCGATATCGACAGAAGTTGCAGGGAAAATGTTTACCGAATTGTCCACACAGCTTATATATGTATATATATTTGAAAAATCTTCATGAGGTCATTCTCTGCATACTAACCATGTTTGTAACTTCAAAAAACACCGCGTTCAAAGTGCCCTCATTCTTATCGGGTGAGGGCCTAGTTATTTGTATCCAGAGGCGTGTCAGTACAGCATTCTACCGCAACCGTATCAATTCTAAGATTTCTTCAAAGACGCACCGCTTCATGATATCGATGGTGCTTTATAGTTTCCGGCTTTGACACAGGCCACACTTGGGTGCAGGGATTTACCCGCCCCAAAAAGTCTAAGAACGAAAGGTTCACCTGACCATCCTAACATCGTTCCTTAGGTTTCGGTGATATAGCTCAATTATATGATATTGCTTGTAGTTTTTCCTGAGCTCCAGACGATCTCCTCCATGCCAGTGGAAGTGATTTTTTGCTTTTCACTTATCCTCTTTGGTTTATTCTTGAAATTATTCAATCATTCACTACCAAAAAGTAAGTCTCGATCAACGATTTTTGTTGGTGCTGAGCCCATACATTTTCTTGAGAATTTTGTGAATCTACAGTCTTATATCAACATATTCAACGTGATCATTTCGATTTTAAATAGCTTTCACTTTTTTGTGTTTGCCCAGTCTCTAGGCCCAGTCTCTAGCCTGAAGTGGGTGAATTCCCTTTGAAAAAAGCTATGACCTTGCATCCTCAAGAAGGGGAATGAATTCCGAAATTCTCACTGAAGTGCTTCTCAGAAACGTCGAAAACTTATTGTGATTCAAGGCTTGAAGGTGATAGAAAGGAATGCGACCGATTTGCTATTCAACACAGTTTCAAGGCACATTCATTAAGTAAACTCAACTCATACCATGTAATGTTATTGCCAAAACCTGGTTCCATCTAGGGACTATCTACAATTATGTGAGCATTTTGAACTTAACTCCGTTATGGGTAAGCAATATCGGTAACAAAGTCACTCACCTGATCGTATCGAAGACATTTGACCGTACTCCTTATCAATCGAAATGGGTCTGCGATCGCTTGAGGGGGATTCCTGAGCCAATCGAGCAAGTTGCAATCGCTAGTGGCTGCTTTCAACAAGGTGCCAAGGTTTCCTGTGGCAGTTAGGAGTGGGCCAGACTTTGGTTGTTGTTGTTGTTGTTGTTGTTGTTGTTGTTGTTGAAATTTATTCTCAATTACCATATTTTCAATGCAATTACTTTCTAAGTTAAACTTTTGAAGTACTTGTTTAAAATTTTGAAAGCAAATTCAAATTGACTCATCGAAATACGTCCGTTAATGTACTTATCTTACGATATATTTTTCCATTCTTACCTTCCTTTTCTGAACGTGATTTTTTGCTCATACTTTGATTTTTCTTTTCCCTTCCATTGTATCTTTTTGGTGTGAGGCTCTTAATCCAGTGTGCAGCGTTTCATAAGTTTGGAAAAGTGCCATTTCTCCAAACAGTTTTGGTTGATGGCAGCAACCAGAAGTCTGAGAGTTCGGTACCGTGAAAAATGTCAATTTTCTTTTTCCTATCGATGAAGGTGGTTAGAATACAGCCTTGCAAGTTTTTGAATTAGAAATTTTCTCCTGTTCCAATATTGATTAGCTCTTCTTCGCCACTGTCTTAGCGATAATTACCGGTTCAATTGATCATCTCTTGATCACTTTGGGTTTTGATTGATTTCTTCCTGCTTATACATTGCGATCTTAGCAAATTTATTAGGTGTATTTGATGATCAATTGTTAATTTGCTTTAGAACTCAGTCAAAGGAGGTCATCCCACCGGCTGAGTCCTACAATGCTCAGACATTACTTATTAACAGCCATACTACTACAGTCTACCCTTGCAGCCAACTTGGTTTGTTTCTTAGTTCTTTCCAAGACTCCCATGAAAACTGTTTTTCTTTTTTCAATAAGAGGTAGGACCAGCTGAAAAAAATAGTGGAAAAATACGATTTTGAGAAACTCCTCTTCTTTTTACCCACAGCCTAGAAGGTCACCCACGGGCACTTGTAAAGAGTGTCCTTTCGTAGAATGGAACAGATGTATTTTGTCTAACTTCTGTCAGTTATAAGGGGAAACCGCTTACTTCTCTCTCTCTCAAGACATCTCCATCGGTAGTTTCAATTCCATGAATCAAACATTTCGCTAGTCGGGGTGAAACTGAATTAAGCAAGCCATTCGTTCTCATGCAGCCCATGAGGAGTACTGTACTGCTGTAACCCCAAGTTGGGGTACAGCCACAGTCAGCCACATAAACTAAGGATAGTAGCAGTTCTTACTAGGACTCTATTGAAGTGACTGGGAAAAATCTGAACAATATCAACATTGTATATATTATGAATCAATTGTGTTTGACATTTGAATGTTTGGCAAAAAAAAGTTTTTCTTCAGCTCAGCTCCGGTGTATTTGTGGTGCGAATACTGTCGGAGCTACATCTTCGTGTCCAGTATTGCTTCAACATGTTACCATATCCCATAAAGGATCCTGATAGGAAATGTCTGAAATCCGGTCAACTGGAAATAGTGGGTGGAACAGAGACCGTACTTGATTTGATAATCACTAATATTACTGTGGTAAGTTCAAACCCATATAATTTTATACCATTATTCAGAGTGACCTCTTGCTGGGGCGCTTTCCAATTATTGATTGATATTGACTGAGTATAGACGTCAATCGCTCATGCCTATGAGCAAGTCACTGCTTTTGAGCTTCGTAAACAGTCCGGTACCACTTATCCGATAACGTAAGGGACTATGGCCCATTTGTCCAAGCTATGTCAATAGGATTTGAGCTCAGACCATAAGTGTGATGACCTTTTGGCTTACCTCCGCTTCTCCATTGAAACAAAGTCTGAAGGATAAAGGATACAGTCTTTGGGCGTTGACCGATCCCGTCTGAGAGATGCGTCCCGCAGTCGACTCCCATTCAGAATCGTAAGGGCGTAATGGATGCGTATGTGGTTATACAATTCGTCGTGGTGGTCAGCTGGCTTGCAAATGGGTGCTCTTATCCTCCCAGACGAGTCTCTACCGATTGAACAACCCGGAGGGTTGTAAGGCTCGGCTGACCCAAGCGGATATCGATCCGAGATTCGAACCCGTGACCATGTGTGTGTGATAACGCGTCGCTTGCCACCACACCACCTCCGATATAAAGCAGACTACTCAAAAAAAAAGATAGATACCTACCGTTGTACGATAGGCAGATATATTTATGTCGGCTTATAATATTATTATATTACGTTCTGTTTAGGAATATATCACTGTCGAGTTTGAAATTGTCGGAAATACTGAACGTGAGTAATGCTTCATGTCCTTGCTGTGAAATTACTGAGGAAGATTCGTACCAATACAGTATCACTATGTTTTAGGACCTATCCAAAGGATATCTAAGCGTATAGCTGTTGATGGTGGACTCCCAGCTGAGCGAGTGGCAGTTGCTAAAGGAATATTAATAGACTTTGTTACTAAGTGTACAAGGTGAGTTATGGAATTCATATGATACCATGGTGAAGCTTGAGGTGAAGTCCTCACCTTCGCATTGACAAGGTACACATGTATTTACTTCTTATTCAATCCAAATTGAGTTTGGGAAGAGTACTTTCGCGTGGGTCAGGGAATACATTGGAAAGAAATCTTTACGAAAACCTTTCCGGTAGAAGTTTCTCTGGAGTACAATCTCCTTCATACCCATGTAACGTTTGGAGGTGGACGAAGAGCATACACACCAGCTGGAGCAACCTTTTTTTGGTTCAAAGTCAAAAAACTGATTTAAATACCAAGGATTACCCGAAGAAGCTCTCCCAAGTCTTCTACCAAGCGCTTTGAAGACCCTAGACACTCTTCTTTAGACCACTGCTCCGGCCACCCTCTCCCATAGCGAACCTTCGATTGATGCTTGGCCCTGCTCAATCATTACCGTGGAGTAATATACCTTTAATTTCAGGCCCTTCTATGGGATTATGTGTGCTCGTCAGTGCTTTGAGGAAGACGGTGCGAAATATGTTTGTGATCCCCATGGGGAAAAGGTTTGCCTTGTTGGATGGACGGGAAAGGATTGCAATACCGGTAAGTGCCGTCTTTCTCTAGCTTTTGATGTGATATGCCTGTGCCTAGTTGGATGGACGGGAAAGGATTGCAATACCGGTAAGTGCCGTCTTTCTCTAGCTTTTGATGTGATATGCCTGGGCGTTCAAGCGAGTACGTCCTTTCAGCCATGACAGGTGTATCTACTGAGAAATTGAGCTCACATGCACCAATACTAACCTCTACAAGTACCTCACATAAAGTAGACCTCAGCTCACATGCACCAATATTGACCACTACAAGTAGTGGTAGGTTACTGACGAAGGATATCGGTGAGTTTTCAATCCTTGTCAGTTGTATGTCTCTTCGAAGGACGATCAGAACTGTCCGCTTTTCTAGAGACAACTACCAGGCCGAAAGTGTTGTTGGTCGATCCTGATGTCCAGAAGCCCTCTACACCATCGCCAGTTGCAACGAAGCAGTTGCCCGAGAAACCAGTATCCGCAGGTGTTTGCAACTACTTTTGTTACTATCGGACAGTTGAGAAAATACTGTTAGGTTTTCCCTTGAACGAGGAAGGCTCACGGTAGATGGCGGAACACCTCAGGTGTAGCTTCACTACAAACTATCAACAATCTCGAGGTTTCGGGAGAAAATTAAGCAACGAGCATGAAAATCAGGGGGTATGGGAGCAAAAATCTCTCGGGCTGCTTTCTTGAAATGCCGCCGTCAGAATGTATCAAANAGCAGTTGAACGAGCGATTGGCCATTACGTTGAAGTGTATTCAAAGTCATTAAATAGTATCAACATAGTTTTAGGTCCATTATCAACTGGCAGCACCCCCGTTGCTCATATGACCGCAGTTCCAACTTCTACTTCACGTGTCACGGCCCTTCCTGCGAATTCTCTTATAGATCATGGTAAGCATAACAATAATTTCGAAAGATCTTTTGCTCTTATTTGTTGCTTCTCATATCACTTAGTTGGAGTGTCTTATCGTACTTAATAGGCAACATTCACGTAAATTAAATTTATTTGAAGGATACCCTAACTTCTTATTTCAGTTCTCGTGCTGTTCTTCGTTGCCATGTTAATTGGCGTGATCAAATATGCGACTTGGAAAATGACTCGATCTGTATTATTGGAAAATTGGATCAATCAAAAGCGAGCCAAGGTTTTTACCACTGAAAGTTCCTCACATTCACTGAGAAAGGATGTCACAGAGAAGGTTCGTGCTGGCTATCATTCCTAGAAATCTTTCAGGAATTGATCTTTTGATATTTTTTATAAGATCTCATCACGATTACTTTTCTGCCCGCTAAGAACCATATAAGTCGGACCGATAGAGACGCGTGCGTACGCGGTGCGTGCAATGCGAGAGGATGTGCTTATGTTTTGCATCCTTTTGAACCGTCTGGTGAGACTAAGTTCTCTCACTACGGATAAAAATGAAGTAGCTGGTAGTGCATTACCGAGTAGGCAGAAGCGAATTGCGATTTATCTGATCCGAATTTTCCTCGATCCGAATAATGACTGCAAGATGATTGAATTGGAGCCTTGTATCTAATAAACACCGCTTCGACCCAATCCTGAATATAGATCGATGGAATTTAAGGAAGTTATATGATTAAAGCCATGAATAAGGCTGCAGCACTGTACAGGCAAGGTTCAAACTCATTCATGGGAACCGTAGCATTCGTCAGTGGTGTAGTGGCAAGTGGCGCACTATATCACGCGCACGGTCAGGGGTTCGAATCCCGGATCGATGCCCGCTTAGGCCAACCAAGCCTTCCGTCCCTCCGGGGTCGGTGAATTGGAACCAAACTTGTCTGGGAGAATAAAAGCATTAACTTGTACATCGGCTGCCACCGCAAGACATTGTATAGGCCATATACGCACACATTACGCCACTACGATTCTGATTGGAAGTCGAGTGCGGGGGCGCATCCCTCAGACGGGACTGATTAACCCCAAAAACTTTATCCTTTATCCTTTAACTTTCTGTTTCAGTCATATCCGATCAACGTGAAAGTAGCAGAGCCGGAATCATGCTACAAAGAGGAACTGGCTCTTCCAAGTTACACATCGTCGCCGCAACGTCTCAAGAAGCTGTCGCCCGCCGGCGATATCATTCTGAATGTTGAGTCCAGAACCTGTCACGAGATTGATTCCTTTCTCGTGCAACCTTTCAAAAATGAAGAGCTGCGGCTCGCAACACTTGTGTAGGGAGCACGCTCACTCTACGTTCACGGTTTCGGTTCGTATCGCCGTTGCAGGCAGCAATCGAGGCCTTCGCTTGGGAAATTTCGCCACCTATTCGAGAACGTGTGAGCCACTAGAAATGATGGTTCAAGCATCCCGGTTATAGAATGCCTCGGTTGTTTAGATTACTACTAGTCAAAAGAGCGTGTTCCCCGTGAAAATGCTTGTGTTAGCAGCTCTTCGCATTCATATTGTATATATTTTCATGCTCTAATGTAATTATTCTCGCATGCTTACTCTACTAATTGCAAATACTTCAACATTTACACGTCGTCGGACAAAAATCGCTTTTTCTGCCTTTTTCTTTATTTGAGATGGTGTGCAGATTCGCAGAATGCGTGCGTGCGTAACGCGCTGCGTTTTCGTTAACCTTCCCTTTCTTTCTGCATTCCTTGAAACTCAGTCGTCCGAGCATGGTGTACAGAGTTGTAAATCGTGAAATCTGATTGTTTTCTATTGAAAAGCATGTTTATATCTTATATGTTTGTACAGTAATTTATTCTGTACTTCTGTACGAAGTCGTACATATGGACGACGCCGCGAAGCGAAGTCTAAACAAAGTCGCCCATCGCGGCTGCCCGAGCCGCTACCCCAGATTTTCACCTCGCTTCGTAGCATTTATTGGGAGACAGAAGTACAAGTTAATTATTATTTTCTTTTCGTTTCGTATTAGCAGTAGATGTAATAAAGAATTTGTTAACGATGGCTTCAATTTTACAAAATTTTTTGTTGCGGCTATCGTAGGTGGTGCTTTTCGGTTTCCTAGTTTGCCCTGCACTTACCCGCTTAGCCGTTCTCCGTCTCTTTGCATCCAGAGTGTTCTTCTATGACCGTATTTGGGCATAGATCCATCGAATAGTATTTAACTTTATTTTATTGGCTTTCTTTTCGCGGATGCGTAAAAGTAGAGCAATGCCCCTAGGCTAGCTAATAAGGGGCCAGGAATTGCCTATGCATACTATCTATTTAATGATTGCTTTAACTCCATCCGGCTCTTCAACAACCTGACGTACCGTCGCAAATCAGGTGATATTCATCATCCTATCACGATCGCTACGACCTCAACCCTCGTTACATGCTGTGCTTGCAGCACTGCCTCCGGATTCGGTCCTGGGTAGAAGTCCTCAAGGTCCGTGATCTTGGGTTTTGGACACTGAGCTCGAGTGGTGCTCCAGTGGTACTGCGTGCGATACCAATCAACTGATTGGTAAAACATTTGCGCAGTGCAGTAATTAGTTATGAATCACTGTAAGTGGTTAGAGGGTATAAGCGACATGCTGCTTGCGCATTCTTTATATGGGCTAGTGATAAATGCTACAGTGTTTTGCGTGTAGTTTTATCGAATACGCGGCTGACTGACACAAGTTTTACCCTGCCTCACATGCAGTGCACCTCGGAGCCCAGCGAAAGGACATCTTAACCAAACTTTGAAGCCGTATTGCAATATCTCTGCATACAGCGTTTCTCGATATGAAACCGCTTCTCGTTGGTTACACAGAAGCCGAAGTTTCACTCATCACATACACATTTTGCAATGCCACTCTCATCTTTTGAGGCCCTTTCAAAAAAGAGGACATGTGAGAAGATGGGTGTGTTGTGTGTCCTCTAACAGCTGCTCATTTCCAATTTTTTAAAAAGTCTACGTTTTCAGAAATTTCGAGAAATCGAAGGTAAGACAGGTCAACTTCCAGAGTTGTTTGATGAAGGATTGCGTTTAACTTTAGGTTTGGGAACCTCCCTGCAGGCAGGCGACCGACTTATCGCGCCGATCAAGTATAGCATAGGAACACATGGTGAGTTTGCCGCTTTTACAGTCTAGGAGACATTGCAACTAATCTAATAGCGCTTAAATAATAATATTGAAACGCTTCCAAGGATTTTATTATGAACTATGAGTTATTCCTCAAAGAGCCTAACTGAACAGAGCAGATTACTTTAGTATTCGTTACTACCCCCCAAGCTTGTTGTCTCTCAGGCTTTCAGTAGGTCAGTATGCTTCAACACAGTGTTTGCTTTCCCGTAACTGCTTTGCTATACTTTCAGATCGTGGATGGGGCGAAAATTTATGAATGGTTTTTTTTTACTCATCCTGTAGTAATTGCATTTTGGTAATCAT